CACACACACACACACACACGCACACACACACACATTGTCATTCAGCTTCGTTGATCATTTGAACGCTGCAATCATCATCTCAGTCGTATCCACAGCAGTATTCGTTTCATGAATTTCGCGTACATTTCTGCACAGTCACACTGGTGCTGTTCCAGAATGAGAACATTTGAATATTACAATTTCTACCTCATTACCATAATGGTCAATAAAGCTGATTTGTCAGAGGTCCATCCTGATTGGACATTGGTTCTATGTAGCACAGTTGTGCTTTCTGCAGACAGAGGCCCAACTTTCAACCTTTATTGTCACTAACAAACTGGTAACATGTTACAATTTCAGTTTAAGCCCAAGTGACCAATCACACTGCTCCCTTAATGCATCTCTCTTGTAGACCTATGTGGTCCCAGTACTAACACTACAAAGCAAAGCACTAAACGTTAAAGGCCTGTAAAAACTCACAAGTCTACATTCAAGAGCTGAACAGCTGATGATGATTTCAACCATCAATAAAAGCGTTTTGGACATCCCCATCTTGGGTGTGTTTTTTAACTCCTATAATAAAAGATGACAAACTTGGCAAGCTGCTGTTTTATGAGATGCAATTATTCTGAATCATACCGAGTTTTCTAGCTTGACTCTAAATGGGCCCATCATTTACAAAATGGACAGGACAATGTATTGAACAAGATTTAAAACTCAAAACCTCCAACTCATTAGGAAAACGTTTACTAAGGTTTAAATGAAGTGATACACAGAGTGACGCTGAGGAGTCCACGCCTGCTGGCCTTTAGAAAAAATACAGCTTTAGGGAATGACAGAGTGACAACACAGCCATATTTTACATATTGCACATGAGTTTGACAAATAAGATGAGTTCACCTGTTTGGTACTTGAGCTGGTATCCAGTCAGGATGCCATTGGGCTCCAGAGGTTTCGCCCATTCCAAGTGGATCATGTCCAAACTTCTGCGATTAATCTTGAAGAACCTTGGAGCGTCTGGAACTACAATCACAACAAAAGAGAAAAAACAGTGTGCAACATAGTAGCTACATGCAGTTTAGACACATGTTTGGACTGCACCAAGAAAAACTGCAGTGTGTGTTGTGTGTCTTAAAGCTTACATGCTTAGTCAGCATCATGGAACACAATGTTCAAGTTCTGACACAAGGTGAGTTCGTACCAGCTCAGTGTGCGTACTGGGCCATTGTAAGGTGTGCAACGTCGACAACTACTTTATTCCTTTCTGCTCCACCTGATGCTCCAGCCTACATCACATGCAATGGTGAAGTAGTTATTTGATCCAGTGCTGAATTTGTATGTTTGCTTACTTTCAAAGAAATGAAGTCTCTAATTTTGATGGTAGTTTCATTTTAATGGAGAGAGACGATCGACCATGTCACTGAGTGTAACAAGAATCTGATCCCCAACAATCCTGCCAGAATTCTGATTGCCTGTGTTCCCATGTGGCCAGATTACAAACCTGATTTACTCAATCAAAGAAATTCCTCATCTGAGCTTGTTATCTGTAAGAAGCACAGCTGTCCACAGAATGAATTTCTTTTATTCCAGCCTCTCCACCACAATGGGAAAGACCAAAAAGCTGTGCAAGGTTTTAGGCCTACACACGAGTGGAATGGGCTCCAAGACCATCAGTGAGAAGCTGTTGGTGTGACTGTTCGGAAAGAGAAGAAATATAAACTGACTATCAAATGAATCTGAATTTAAGGACAGATTGAACCACAATCACCAAGAACACCATTGGTACCACACTACACCGTAAAACAGGCCGTTCATACTCCTCACAGTCATTAAACAATGAACAGTTAACCTGTTGAACCCCAATGCCTCCAATACCAGGGATGAGAGGGAGAACATCTGGTTTAACAGGATGTACTGCCAGATTTGTTACTTAAATATAGACATGTGGTGTCCACAGACACGTCAACAATCTCAGCTAAAAGCTCACAGAACCATTTCAACAACCACCAAAGAGCTAAAACAGCAAACGATTAGAGAGCAGCTAAACAGATTCTGCAAAAAGATGTAAACACAAAGCGCGGATCTCCCTCGGGGACGTACATGGACTTTGCTGAAAGGAGACATCTCACAGTTTCCGAGCTTCAGGTTTTGTAAGTCTGCGACCAAAATTCTTCACAAAGGTAAGACAAGCTGATTTTGTCTTCCCTTTGCTGTCTTGCTTCCACCATGATAAAATTGGACTTCCTGCACAGCTCTGTCTCGTGGTGTTCCTTGAGAGCAGTTTCCCATCATAAATCTCTATTTTCTGCCTTATTTGTTTCTTATTACACACTTATTACCACTCTATCGTTTCTTATAGTGCTGTCAGACACTGTCTTGTTTTTCTCCCAAGAAAGCCAAAATTCTGCTATTCAATACTGAACAGCAGAACATGAACTGAACTTCAACCCATTGTGGCATTAATGGGTTTTCTTGGAACACCCACCAGGTCCCCTTGCTCAAGAAGACACATGTCTGAGCCTGTCTGGAGTTAACCAGTGAACATCTAAAAGAACGCCAAGCTATAGTCAAACACAGTGGTGTTTTTCTGGGTACACTGAGGGGCCAATGGATGGGACCATGTACCGTCAGATCTTAGACTGTTCATTTATTTGAAAGATGACCTTACAAATTCAGCACACGATCAAAGAATTATTTCCCCCTGTATAAACCTGTTATTTTTAGGGTGGGTGCACAGCATCCTCACCTCCTTCTTTGGTGGTAAATGCCACAGTGTTGCTGGGTTGACTCTCAAAGCGATTGTTGGCCACAACCATGAACATCTTGTAGTTCGAGTAGGGCGCCAGGTCGCTGAGCATGCCAGATGGTTTGGCTGTAGTGCTATAGAAACCTTTGACCTTCTTCTCCTTACTGACCACCAGACCTGGAACCTGGCTAGACTCACGCCAGTAGTATAACTGGGAAGCAGAATGGGAAGAAAGGTGTTAATAGGCGAGACGTACAGGAGATGGGAGGACATTACACAAGAGAAATTATCCAAAATTGATCATGAAAGATAATTGGAAATTATGTAACGGAATAACAGGAGCGGGACCACGCCTCCAAACACGCTCCCTCCGGTTCTCATCTATATAGGTTCTCCCAGTTCTGCAAGCCGTCGTTCTTGTTTACGTGCCCCACCCTCCCTTCTTTAACTTCTTCACTTCTAATTAGTCCATGGGGATCTGCCAGGCTGCCATCGCCAGTCCCCTTCGAGGCCTTTCCCAATCGCAGCTCAATTCGTGACCATGCATCACCTTTACCTACTAAAACGCTGTCAAACCTAAAATGAGGACGTGAAAGGATGCGTAATGTACCAACCCTGCAGTTTGTTCTCATTAGAAAAACCAAAGGCAGTCTTACTCTATACTCCTTGAACTCTCCCTGGACAGAGTTCAGGTCCACAGGGTTCCAGTGGATGATAACTTTGGTGCTGTCAACCTTTGATACCCGCAGGTCAGTGGGAGCATCAGTGGGCTCTGAACACATCCAAGTGGACACAATATGTGTGAACAGTCAGCAGTATTTTCAAAACAAATTGTCAGTTTGGTTTTCACTTTTCCTCAGCCTCCACATGGGTTGCTCTCATAAATGAAAAGCTGCTTCGTAGTCAGGATTTACTTACTGTCTTCTCCAGAGTATCCAATGACCAGGTTAGACTCTGGTCCTGCTCCAAACTCATTCCTGGCCTGGATTTTGAGCTCATAAGGCACATAGATTTCTGTATTGTGGACCACATGGTTAGTCCCCACTGTGGTCAGGTTATTCCACTCCTCTTCAGCGTCTTTTCGTCTCCACCACACAATGTAGTGCAGGTTTGGACCATTTCTTTCCAGATCAAGGAGAGGCTAGAAAAGTCAACAGAGAGATGCGCCTGAATTTACACATATTGGCAGGACAAACGATGAGTTATACTTATCAAATTACATGTTATAACTGTTTGGTGGTTATATACATTTACTTAGACATTGGAAGTTTTGCATCTAACCTTACTGTACAAGGGGATAAATTCTGATTGGACACTTCCAAGCTTATTCCACAACATGTCGTGTTTATTTGTGAACATGTTGATACATTTCATCATATTTCTGTGCATTATTTTTGATTTATTTATCATCTTGTTTTTGGTCAACAAAAAAGAACGCTGTTAGATGAAGCAACATTTTATGGGGAACGTTTTATCTTGATGCAAGGAAATGTGAGAAAGTTGTGCAGATTCATTCTGAAACTGTGAAACATCCATGCAAATGCATTAAATAAGGCAAAAAGACAGAGTCTGAACCAGTGTTGAGTTTGTTGGCTAATAATTTTTGTTAATAAAAAGAAGATGAAAATTATGATGAAATGTTTTGACACTTTTGTTGACCAATAAAAATCAGATGACAGGAGAGATTAGACCCAATCAGAATTAATCAGCTTGTGTAGCGACGGCTTTTGATCTCCTTGGGCAGAAAAATTGATCTCACAAGCTGAGAGAAGATGTGAAGGAAAACACAACATTTTGTAAACTATACGGCACCCCGGCAAAAACATGACAAACTTTTAGTTAACTGAATTCCCTTCAGATTAAGTCGACGACAATCTTATAATATTTAGTCGCCTAAAACAAGTTAGATGCCTAATTATGACTTAAACTAAAAAGACTGAAGCTAAATCCAAATTTGCTGACAGAATTAAGACGGGTACTGTTCTACTCTCTCAGGCAAGCTTTCTTTAGCTCTTCAGGCTTCTTGAAGGACACTGCAAAGCTCTTCTTTGAATGTTAGCGCCCTTTAGTTTGATTCTCTGATCCCATACAAATTCAATAATGTGGAGGTCAAGGTTCTGGTAAGGCACATGCATGACTGAAGGTGTTCCACTGTGGATCTCTCTCTATCCAGGTCCACACATTGGCTGTAAATGGTTCTTATATAGTGCTTTTCTGCTCCGCCTGAGCATTCAAAGTTCCCTGTGTTTAGTATCACTGCTGTACTGAAAAGCTGAGCTCTTACACTGAGACCATTCTAATGAGGCTTATGCAAATCCTAGATTGATCAACATATAATTTAATTTGTTAACAAATAATTTCCCCCAGGGATTAATAAAGTATTCTGATTCTGATTCTGATTCTGATAAGGTCCATCTGTTTGGTCCTGTGTCAGCGCAACACTACAGTTTTTCAAATCGTGTTTCTGTTGTAAATAGTGTTTTGGGCCTGCTGCTTTTACTCTTTTGTCCACTTTTGTGAAATAGACACACTGCACATCACGCCAAGATGTGCCACGTTTTCAGCTAATATCAACTTGTTGAAGCAAAAATACTGTTTTATGTCTGGCATACTGTTATCTTCGGCATTTTTCACTCTGCTAGTAACAAAATGCATAAAGATCCTATTTAACACTGCGGGGAACATGTGCCACCACACAAAACAGTCCTAGCTGCACCTTTGCACACAGGACTTTGTGCTTTCAGCTGACAGTGCTAACCACCAGCCTAAAACGTTTGTCATGGTCACCTGATTACACATCTGCATTCAGGTGACCCTCAGTTTCATTATACTGTTAACATGTTCTCAGTGCAGACTACACTGTCTCACTGATTCATTCCCCATACGAGACGTCATCTTACCTCCCAGGTGATCTCCATATTGTCCTTTCTGGACCCCCAACCCCGTAGGCCTTTGGGAATGGCATCTGGTGCTTGTTTCAACATAACAGAGCGCACTGACATTAACCAGTCAGCAAAGCTTCACACGTATTCAACTGCAACTGTAAACCTTTAGTGAACATATGTTTCCAAAACATTGTAGCTAATTTGAGTACATGTAAACTAATAAGACTGACCAATTGAAACATCAGAGGTCAGATGATTGCATGCGATGCTCCTTACCAGCTCCAGTGGTCTTGTACCGGGGCGAGGGGCGGCTGGGATCACTCTGACCTACTGAGTTGATGGCGATGACCCTGAACTGGTAGTTGACAAAGGGAGCGAGCTGCAGGATGACAGAGTTGAGGTCTCCAGGGTAAGATGACAAGTTCTGCCACCTACCCGGCTCCCAGCGGTCCTCTTCAAACTGGACCAAGAACTCTGAGGAGAGACAGAACTAATGAAAAAACCAAGACAGTAAAACCTGCTGCAGGTCTGTGAGTCCATGTGTTCTGGAAGCACGCCATGTCCCATCCATTTGTCCACTTCAGCTTGTTCAAAGATCCAGTATACATTTTACAACCTTTCAGTATCCACATGGATTATAATTTACCCAAATCCTTCAGTAATAGGATTTTGAGTTTAGCATCCATTCAGAATCAAGTCTCAACTGTGGTGACCTGAAACTAACTAGGCTACTTTTGCTTACACAGTCTCCCCAACAGGATCAGTTTCAAAAAAATAACACAATCCTGTCAGGATCCAGGTTGATGTGTGCCTACTTACCTGTGATGGGGCTCCTGTGCTCTTTTCCAGGGATCCAGGTGAGGCGAACGCTGCGTGCTGCTGGGTCTGACAAATCCAGATCCATGGGGGGGTCTGGACGGGCTGAAGAAAGACAAGACATGGCTTTGCTTGTGTCAGACACACAGAAACATGCATGCATTTGTAGACATGTTGAAGAACCTTTTTTCATCTAAAACAAATGACTCATTGGGAGCAGTGCAGAGAGTCTCCTCTCAGCACGGACACATAACACTGTCATCATAAAGGGTTCATACAAACAGTAAGACAAAGAGACACTAGTTTAAAAACAACAAGCACATAACAAATTAAAAACGGGACAGAGACAAACAGTAGATAACATAAAACTTCCAACTGAGCTGTGTGTTACCTGGAAGCAAGGCACTAGAGACTGAGGGGTTGAGAGTGGCCACCTCTGTGGGACAGGGTCAGGGAGCAGGAAGTGGGTACAAAGGTTAGAGTCTGCAGGTTAGTCTACAAGCCAATCAACAGCAAGGGATTAAGAATGCATTTAGCACACATAGTAATAAGGTAAGTTACACAGTTGTAGACAATCACGTAATCACTGGTTTTACAAATAAAAATGCTCACACTGGTGACGACATGTGGATTAAAGAGTGCCTGCTATTATTTAAATACACACACGCACGCGCACACACACACAGATAAAGGTAAACACTCGTTGAGGCTGAGGTAAAGTAGCAGACTGTCCTGTGGCACCATGGCTACACTCATGAACGCTGCCCCCTACAGGCTGAGCAGGAGAGGTGCCCTCAGCTCACAGCTACAGTCTGTGATAGTGTGGCATTTGAAAGCAGTTGGTGTTCTTTGCTCACGAACACTTGAAGCGTGTTGTTGAAAGATGACATGTTTGATGATGGACTAAATATAGACTCTGAATAATAAATGGGTGCAGTCTGTCTGTGTTGTGTTTTCAGGAACACGATGCTGTTCTCCAACCAGTCCCAAAGACTCAATCAGTCTGTGTAGGAGCATGCCACTGGAAGCACTGCTGTACTTCTTTCAGTGTCTCACACACTACTGCTGAACTACAAAATGCTGTATGACTCTCACATCACAGTGATTTGTTTCGTTTTTACACATTCACTGTAAATATCTGCTTCGTACGTACAATGACTGTTTTCAGCTAATACACAGCACCGTGCATAAAACTGAAGCCTTGAAATGTGCTGAAGCTCTTTGTCACATCCTGACACCATCAAAGTGCAGGCTGACTAGTTTCATTCAAGCATCAGAGCTATCACAATGATCTGAAGCAACATGAACATGAAAGTCTAAAGTAACAGAAGGTCTTTCACCAAATGCAGTTACATGTGCAGTATGTATGCACACGTCTTCAGCAGCTGAAACCAGTGCTTTACATGTTTTAGCCATGTCTGCCTAAATCCACAGCGTGTTCACAGGGGGCCATTGATTGTTGGGTTTCCTCTGTATGTATCATTGTAGGTCTGCCTTACTACATAAAGGTGACTGTTGTTGGTAAGTGTAAATGTAAGAGAAAATGACATATTTTAAGAGTACACTCAGAATAATGAACTAATGAAACAACACAATGTCCAGTCTGTATGTGAGTGTACCTAACACAGTGAGGCGAGCAGAGGCTGAGAGCTGGTCTATCTCAGATTTAGCAGTGCAGGTGTACGTCCCCTCGTCACCCTCGTTCACATTGGGGATGGACAGAGACTCATCATCCTTCTTCAACCTAGGAGACAGATACAGAAAGGACTGTCATACGTGTAGTAACAGCACTGGAGCTAGTCTTTATTCATATTCATACAAAAACCAAAGAAACTCATTCCTGGAAGAAGAGTGTTCAGATTTCTGTTCATATGAACTGCCTGTATGCTGACAGGCATCAGAGTAGCCAGCATACAAACCATTTGGGTCCATGCATTTACTTTTGTGGGTTTACGTTTAAAAACAGTCCCAGTACAATCCATTGAACATTGTTGGATTTTAAATCAGATAATCCAGATGTGACTGAAGACTTTCAGCTTCGATTCAAAGGGTTTGACAAAAGTGCTGCATCAGCAGTTTCGGATATACAGGCTTTTTAAACAGTCTCATTTTCAGAGACTCAACACTAGTTGGAGTGTCAGGGAGCTTCATGGCCAGGCGAAGCTTCTTTATTCCAAGTGAAGTCAGGTGTTGGACTTTAATTAGGTAGCAAAGAAACGTGGATACAAGAGAGCTACTATTAGGCTGGAAAAAAATCCTGTCAGACAAACAGGAAGTAGTTTAGATCATGTGACATATTCTTTCAAACAAAAAAGGATGCTCTGGCCAGCTCAGCAATACCAAAAGACTGCAGAAGACAACTTAAGCCGATCATTTCGGCCTTTTCACAACATCTAGCCAAATCCTGAACAGAAGGAGACAGGCCTGAACCATCAGCCGAAAACTAGGCAAGGCAAGTTTATTTGTACAGCACAATTCAACAACAAGGTGATTCAAAGTGCTTTACAGAGACATTAGAAACAAAAACAAATAAAAAGCATGATTTAAAATTGATTAAA